TGTATCTTTTTTTCTTCCTCAGTAACTTCAGCTTATGATCTTTCTTGGGGGAATAGACAGGTAGTTTCAGGTGGAGCCCAGAATTGTACTAGCCTTTGGGTTATACTACTCTCCTATTAATAAAACATCCAGAACTAGGTACTAATCCAACAGTGGTCCAGTTGTTCAGGGTATTTCTGACTCCTAACAGGAGATAAACTGCAATCTGAGATTTACTTTACAAAGGGGAAACATTAAAAAATTCTACTGCAAATCTACTATAAAGATCCAACAAACAGGCCCTGGCCAGTGTGTCTCAGTTTGTTGGAGTGTCAATCTATAGATCAAAGGGTTGTGGGTTCAGTTATTGGTCAGGACGCATACCTAAGCTGTAGGCTCAATCCCAGATCAGGGCTCATATGTGAAGGCAATCAATTGGTGTTTCTCTCTCACGTTGATGTTTCTCTGTCTCTCTCCACTTCTCTCTAAAAGCAATGAAAAAAAAAAGCATCCTCAGGTGAGGATAAAAAAAAATCCAAGAAACAATATGTTTTCATTATACCCATGTTACTGAACCAAGATTAGAAAACATATTCAACCCAGATAAATTGAAGATTGAGCATTTTGTCCCACCTCAAAAATGGTTTCAAAATACCAAAACGAAAATCACAGAATGGATTTTAGTAAATGTTCTAATAAATACTTACATGTCATGACATCATGCCACAGTAGTTAATTATTAATATTGGTATTTATTAAAATTTCACTGCATTTGTAGGTTTAGATTTTCTTTGTAAAATTTCAGCTTTGTCAGATGATTGCTGAAAATTCATAACAAGTTGTGAATCAATTCAGTTACTTGTAGCCAAATAATTTCAAAAAAATTTACAATTTTTTTTGAAAAAAAATATACCAATATCATTTTAATGTTGGTTATAGGTATATATTTAAATGTTTTTATATTTGGGGAAGATATCCAAATATAACATGGCCTAAGGCCAATGGGAACCTAAAAAGAAAGCACCTGAGTAGAGTCAACTGTTTTAAGAAACTTCATTGAATATGGTGGTAGTTTAAATGACTATTTCTAGAATTCTTTGAAGGTGACAAGCTGCATTCTTCATTCTTAAGCACTCTCAATTGAAGGGTATCAAGCTAGTCTTGAATATCTGCAGGGATGTAGTTGATTATATGAAGCCCTAGCAGCAGGATGGCTCTCCCTGCTGGCTTGACACAGCTCTTGGACACCTAGCACTATTTGGAACAGGTTGTTAACTGTAATAATACCCTAGGGGTGGGCTAACTTTGACATTCTAGACTCTTCACGTGAGCTTTTGTCACCTTGCTGTATTTCACATAAAATCATAGACCTGAATTTGTATCATACACTGTTCAGAATGTTTTGAAGGAAATGTCTTTCTTTTAGGGTCCCTGGGCTTGGTATGCCGGCCACATTGAGGAGATATTCCTCAAATCAACATAAGACAATTTTTGGAGGAATCTTCTCCTAGCAATGTTTTTTTTTCTTTTAGAGTTCATTTTTGCCTTAACAATCTAGCATTAATTAAAGAGTTGGCTAATGTTTATTTACACTGAACTAGCAAATAAAAGAAAAATGATATTCCTGAGCTCCAAGGATAGTATCCACCTTGATCTTGTGACAGAAAGTTAAATAAGGCTGGCATTATTAAAATGTTTTTAAATTTTTTAACTCTTACTCTGAATAACCACATAGTTGACTGTTTATAAAAACTGGCTTGCATTGAAATCTGTTATGTGCTGGGCTGGAACTTTTTTCTGAATTGTACCAAGTGTATCATTGTAATGCATATTACTGTGTTTTACAAGTACACCACACTATCTCCACTGTCCCTCCTCACCTTCCTTCCCGTAGCTCCTCTCTCTCCTTTCCAATCTTGACTTCTACTTGGACTTGCTTTTGGGAAAACTTCTAATCAAAATCTTTGTATCTCTTTCTGGGCCTGCTTTTTTTCTAGAAAAGACTCATTCTTATAAAAATCATGATAGTTTGACAAGCTGAGGGCAATTACCTGATCAATATCAGTCAGAATGAGAAGCCCATGATGGATGCCCCTTTGGGTTGAAAGAAAAGCAGCAGAGACATATTAAATTAAGCTAGTCTCATTTGGCCCATCACCAGAAAATACTGAAGCAAGGTAATTTGACCTTCAAAAAAAAGTCAAGAGTCCGTCTGCATCACCCCATTACGAAGAAAGGTCTCAGACAAGGTCATTAGAGAATTTTGATAATTGCTGGCTTTGCAGTAAAGAATTTTTTTAAAGTTTTTTCTTTAGGGTTCAAACTACACATTAAGGAAAATTAGTGAGCTTATTTCCCAGTTTCTATAGAATAGGTGGGGGTATTCCATGGGGCAAGGTGGGCATAAGATCAAATGGTAAACATTGTCACTCTTCAGACACGTAAGTCTTGACCTACCCTTTTCAACTTGGCAGGTTAATAAACGTTTTAATCACAGTACTTTTAGCTTGATACTTCTTCTAAAGCCAAATAGTAAATCTCTTTAGATTATGTTGTCATTGGCTGTTAACATAGCTAACAAGGCAATAGATCTCAGGTATTTAGCCATCATTACTTCCCATTGACTCAAATAATCACAATCAACAAGTGCACACTCAGAGGAATTAATATCTGCTCAAATCTAAACATCACAAGGAAAAGTGATCTCCACCCAGTAACTATATACAACATTTTTATTGATCATACAGTCATAGACATTAACAATGATTTTAAAAATGCATTTAAATGATCTCCCTTTCCCTGTGACAATATCTTAAGGCATTTTACTAGACTCTCTCTTCTTCACCTGATCCACAGACTGGTGGTCCTAAAAACCATAAACAAAACACACCAGGATTAAATAGTTTGGGGGACTCCTATGGAAAACACTACCCATAGAAATCAAGAGTCAGAGAGACCCTTAAAAATTGCCTTTCTATTCATTGTCCTGAAACTTTAGATGCATAGAAATTACAGCGTAATTATGGGACGGCATAATCCAGTGTGTCTGTGGAGGGTCCAGGGACCTGCATTTGCACAAGTGTCCCCAGGTGATACTACGCTACATCTGGTCCTTCTTTCTATTAGCCTTCTAGCATTGTGAAAAGTATACCAGCTTAAGGTGATGAGAATCACTTTTTTGCAAAGGGTACCATGGAAATGGAGTGAGACTCTTTCAATCAAATAACACAATCTAAGGCTTTGATGTTTTGTCACTTCTGTTAAGAACTCTCACATCTTTCTCCAGCTAGAATTTCTTTGGTTTATTTCAGTGCATTTTGCTTAAATGCATTCCACTTGCAAAAATATTCCTAAGGAAAATGATGAGTTATTTCATCTTTTACCATTTAATATGTGCTTCTCCATATTTTACACATTGTCCTAGGCTTTCAGGTCCTTTCTAAGTACAGGGTACTTTCTTGCCAGGAAGAAGAGACATTTGTAAATTAATTCATTTCGTTCAAAGTAAAAGCCACGGCTTCAATGTCATCACCTCTATTTTGCCCCTTGCTCACTCAAGCCAGCCCCACTGGCTTCCTTATTATTCCTCAAGCATGCTGGCACACTCACTGTAGGATATTTCTTGCAGCTGTTTTCTCTGTTTGGGACACTCTCCTTCCAGATATCCACTTCAAGTCTTTGCTCAAATCCCACCTTCTCCCTGAGGTTTCTCCTCACCACCTTATTTAACATTGAAATCCAATCTCTTTTGTTTTACTTTGTCCACCATAACATGATCTATATATTTTAAGCCTTCCCCCACCATAGTATTTAGTTCCTTCTAAGATACTATTTAACTTACTTAAAATATTCTTGTTTATTTTCTGTTATTCCCTATTATATTACAAACTCCATGAAGGTTGAAATTTTGTTTTTTTAGGCTGATGCATAACAGTTAATTAAAACAGTGCCTGGTGTATAGTAGATGCTCAATGAATCTTTGTTGGATGAAAGAATAAATGACTAATTACCCATGATAGTTTTCCTTGCACAAGCATTTGCATCAAAATCTAAGACAGGCTGGAGGAGGCAACAGTTAAAAAGGGTAGAAATTCAGGCATCATTCAGATTCACATAAATTCGCATAAGATTCAGAAAATGTGTTTAAGTAGTCAGTATTCTAGGTGGGTCTTAAATTATGCTGTAAAGATTACCAACTTCTCAGCCTACTCCTCCAGCCAGCTGTTCCAAACTCTTTAACCATGAATATTGATTACTGCTATAACTGAGGGCTGAGTAATCAGTGAAAGTAGCAAACTATAGGGAAAAAGTTGGAGTGAGAGCCATATTAGTGCTACTCAAATTGTATTGAAAATATCATTCGGGACTTGATGCTACCTTAGCATTTGGACACAGCTCTATTAGAGCTTACTTATTTTGCTAAATTTATAGGAATAAGTACCATTATAGAGAATTTTGATGTGTTATACATGATGTTATGTTTCAAAAACATTCTTTCCCTATTTCTTCAAGGGTACTGTTAAGTATGGTGTTAGGATTCATTGAGTTGCAAGTGGCAGGGTATCCAACTGAAACTGTTTTAAACAAAGACAAACAGGAAAAAAAAAGAGTAAATATGGTTCATGTATCTAGGAAGTTGAGAGAGAAAAATTATTGCGATTAACTACTCATATATTTAAAAAGGAGAGAAAATAAAGTATAATATTAAATATTATAAAACTTAAAATAACATAAACTGGGTAATTATTTTAAATTCATATTAATATATTTTAATCAATTTCTTAGTCATTATCTTAACACCATGTTATAGCCCTGTGGTAGTTAATTTTATGTCAACTTGCTGGGCTACAGGTTGACTGCCCAGATATTTTGTCAAACCTCATTTTGGGTGTGTCTGTAGGGTATTTTGGAAGACCATAAGATTTTATTTGGTAGACTAAATAAATAGATTGCCCTCCCCAATAAGGGTGGGCCTCATACATTCTGTTGGAAGCCTGAGATTCTACCTCTGCTTGACTAAGATGAAACATCAGCCTCCTGCCCTTGGACTGGAACTACACCACTGGATCGCCTGAGTTTCCAGCTTGCAGATGGCAGATGGTGGGATGCTTCAGCGTCCATAATCATGTGAGTCAATTTTGAATTAGTTTCTTTCTGTATATACATATTCATTAGATTGGTTCTGTTTTTCTGGAGAATCCTGAATAACACAAGGTGTTTTTAAGAAAAATGCATTTTTTCAATATGGTTTCCTTATTTAAAAATAATAAATTTTCTGTGATTTTCTTCCTAGTTGAATTTTGAGGTTAACAAATTTTAAATTCAAACTTTAAATTTGTTTAAATTTTAAACAAATTTTAACAAATTTTGACATCTTCAATTAATTTTTCTTTCTAGACCACAATATTTTGATATGAGAAAAATATTTTCTCTATCAATGTCGAGGCACCAGGTAACCTCAGAGCATATTTTGCAGAATGAAGAATATTCTCAAAACTATTTTTTTCCATATTGAGATACTTAAATATTTCAGGCCAAGTATTTTCACAGGGACTGTCTTTTTGCCTCTGTTTTTTTGACAGATATTTTTATAAGACAAAACTGTTCAAATGTTATCTCTCTGATGTTTTAAATGTGTTGCCAGATATAGACGCTATAAAATAATAACCTTTCTCAATTTCACCTGATTCTAGTATACAATAGAGATGTACTGAATGAAAAATATGAACTTTATTTTTAAAATTTTCCCACAAATCAAACTATTCCCAAGCACAATTGTGAAATTTCAGAATTATATTCCATGCAACATTCGTGCTCACATCATGTTTGATTTGTTCAGTTCCTCCCTTGCTTTTGTAAAAATAATTTTTAATCTTATTTGTACACTTTGTGTTTATAATTGTAATTTGCTAAGAGATTGAAAAGCTGAAGTCTGTAGACACCCAATTTGCTTAATAATTTGATTAAAGATCTTCCTCCTATTTTGAACAAAATACAACCAAAATTTGGGATCATTTATAAAAATGCATAATATCTATATGGGACAATAAGGTTGTTCAAAAGTGCAAATATTTCCAAAACCCATTCGATTATGGATTTCAAAGAGAAAGCTTGTATCACTGTTGAAGTATTTTAAAAAATATTTCAATCAGAGTCATCACATTTTGTTGGTCAGCTGCAATGCGGGGGGTATGTGTATGCATGTGTACAAGTACAGCTTCTATTCTCCTTAGTGAAACATACCAACTTATTTGGGCATGATTATGAGCTATGTGTACCTCATAATCAATTCTTAGTATATATATATGCCCCCTAGGTTTTTAATTTTTAAGAATTCTGTTTTTACCATGATATTATGCTCCACTAAATTTGTTTTTATTATCACAAAAAAACAACAACAAATAATCGTGGCTTCAGTGTGTTACTTACAAATTGGTTTTGCAATAGCATTCAATAATTTCACTTTTCTTTTTTAACAAAATAAACTTTCAAAGCTTTGCTTGACTCCATGAACTGTACTAAAACATCCATTATTAGAATTAATTGATTTTTGTATCTGAAGCATTTGACAACACTGATAGGAAACTGGCATTACTTCTGCTAATCAATCCAGCATGTTAACTGGTACTGTTTCACTTTTCACTCATATAAAATAAAACATGGATTGAAAATAAACACAATTAATTTAAAACTACTATCCTTTGATCTAAATGAAAAGCCATGGCTTTCAACTGATTTATAAACATACATTCTGCAGCTGTATTGGTTAAATTATCTTCCTTGGACTCAGGCTTTAAAATAACCACTAATTTTTCAAATAGACACTGATCCTTCATCAGTAGATTTATGCCTTCTGGTTTTCATGTGCCAATGATATCATTTATGGGCACCAAAATAAGTAAACAGTGAATGTTGATGAGCATTTTGGGCAAGACAAGCATCCAAGTCAACATGTGAAACGAAAAATCAGCACTTTCACTTTTATTTAACATACCTTTTAAAATTCATTACAATCAAAATATTTATTTCAAAAATTAAACAAATAGCTGTGTGCCAGTAGGAAACAATAACCAAACCTCTGTATTAAGGGTATTCAGTTCATAGTTTCTATGCTCTACTCTAAGACTGCACAGTCTCATTTTCTACATTGATTTCGTATATACTTAAACCATGATTTCTTAGAGTACTCTCATTGACCCCTGAATGGCAAGCTGGTGACTTCATGTGTCTCATGTGGTTCTAGTACACTAGTGGTTGGTAGAGCAGGTGGCATTATATATTTTCTTCACCACTAGCTGAGACTAGAAATGAGCTGTCATTAGCCATGTGATTGCAGGTTCACTGAATGCCCCTTTGAAATGAAGGCCTTAATTATGCTGCATTTAGAAATAAGAGTGACAGAATGTTCTTGGTCATTTTTCATATTTTGCCAGATGCTAATGTGGAAACTTTGTTCACTGCACACCCTGCTCATACACTACTAGACAGGACAATGCCATGAACAGGCATTGGTGCAAACTATTGGCCGCCCAAACATATTCCAGTTTATTTAAATTAAACTGCAGTTAGGGATTCATGATACTAAACCAAATAAATCATCTTCTCAACTTACATGAGTTGGGCTGCAGGGCAAACCAGACTGTCTGGTCACTCTCCTCACTGGGAGCAGCAAGTGAAAGTGAAGGACAAAACTAGCCTGTGTAGGAGGGTTCCATCCACAGGAGAGGGAATGGCAGTGAGAGAATAACAGAAAGATAGCTAGAGGTCAGTTCACTGAGAGCATTGTAGGCCATGGCAAAGATTTCAGGTTTTATTTTACATAATCCAAGGAGCCTTTGGAAGACATCGATCTGATTAAAAGGTCATCTAGCTGCTGCCTGGAGAACAGACAATAGAGGATAAGAATAGTGGCAGGCAAAACCTGTTAGGAAGCCATTGCTATCATCAGGTAAAAGGTGATGGCATTTAGGACGAGGGTGCATGTGCAGATGTGGTGAAAAATGGTTCAATTTGAAACCATTTTCGGAACAACGTGGGGAGGAAGAGAAATGAGGAGTCAAGTATACGAGTAAATTTAAGATTTTATGATAAGTCTCCAGAGGGATATTGGTGACATGTACCGAGCTGAGGAATGCTGTGGGAAGGCGAGTTGGAGGGGAAACTAGGAGTTCAGTCTGTTTGTAAAGGTTAAGTTTGACATAACTATTAAATGTCCACATGTAAAGTTGAGCAGGTATTGGGGCACATGCACTGTGGACTGGTTGGGACAAGAAAAATAAATGGGAAATCGGGAGTATGGAGGTAGTATTTATAACCACAGGAGTAGATAAGATCACTTCGAGAGAGGGTGTAGCTGAAGAAGAGAATTGCAGACTGAGTTCCAGAGTACTCTTGTAATTATCTGTTCAATAGATACATAGCAACCCAAAGTAATATTTTATGCAATTAATTCATTGTCATAAATGTACTAAAATTATCATACACTCTTTCAACACACATATATACACATACACTAAAACTAACCCTTTTCGTTCTACAGAAAATTTTAAAAAGTTACATTGCATGAAATAAACCAATGATTAGGGAGAATTAAGCTCCTTAGGTTTTTCTTTGATTGTCTTCTAAAATAATTCATATTCTACAATGCTTGGCATACTGTTGCAACCTAAAAAATGTAATAGACCACTAAATCTCATTTTATTTCATTCATTTGCTAAAAAATACATAGAAAATAAAATACTTTAAAATTCATAGTTATGAATGGCTAAAGATATAGAGAAACACATAGAGATACATTCATCATTTCATTTGGGTATTTGCTTATCCCAGAAGGTGTATTTCCTATCTATAGTCATGAGCCCAATTTCATCAAAATATGGTTTTCCCCTGGACACTAATCAGTAATTGACACCTTAAATGATTCAATATAAAAGGATTCTGGTACCATATTAAGCATCTAATAACAGTTTATTGATGATGCAAGAAGACAGGTAGGAGGCAAAGGGCCAGAGAAACCAGTAATCAAAGAGATATCAAGCCATTGATTGCAGAGGGAGACACATTTAGAATAATATGAGAGGAAGGACTTGGGAATAAAAGATAGAAATGGAACCATCAAATGTATCTAACTGTGGAATAAGCCAACCCCAAAAATTCCAAATTGGAACTCTGATGTTATGGTTGAACAAGGGAACTTAAATTCTATTTCACTAGTATGGTCAACTTAAAGAAATTCTTTGATCTGGGAGCAGGAAGGCCAATGAGCTAGCATAATTCTGTGTCATTAGTATACTCAGTACTAGACCAGAGAAAAAAAGAGAATGGGCTGAAGAGAAAGTGTTTTTTTTTTTCCACATGTAAGTGAATAATGTGGTAATTTTCTTTCTTTGTCTGGCTTATTTCACTTAGCTCAATATTCCCTAGGTCCATCCATGTTGGGGCAAATAGAAGAATCTCCTTTTTGCTAAATAACATTTTATATGTGTCATACTTTATTCATTCATTCATTCATGGAAATTTAGGTAGTTTCCATGTCTTGGCTACTATTGGTAATAATGCTGCAGTGAATATGAGGGAACACATAATATTTCAAGTTAGTCTTTTGGCTCTCTTTGGATAAATACTCAGAAGTGAAAATGCTGGATCATATGGTAGTTCTAGTTTTAATTTTCTGAGGAAACTTTATACTGTTTTTCATACTGATCACCAGTTTATATTCTACCAACAGTACACAAGGTTTTCCTTTATTGTATCCTCATTAACATTTACATCTTGTCCTTCGATAACAGCCATTCTAATAGAAGAGTTTTTTAAAAATCTATCCTATGGTTATGTGAATGGTAAAAGTAATATTAAATAGAGCACATTAAAACTTACAAAGAACTCTTAACAAATGATCTCATTTAATTGCCATAACAAATAGAGGAGTTAGAAAGATTATGTCTGATTATCTCCAACACACAGAATTTTCAGTTGAAAAAAAATGACACGTGGAGAGGACTTGTAATTGCCAAAGGTCACATAGTTTGGGAAGGAAGCATGACCAGTCTTCTGATCACTCTGGCTTCACACTGCTGCACATTGATGCCGCACAGCTTTCCAAGAGAGACCACAGCCTTACGCAGCTG